GCATTAAATCAGAGGCTGAATACTGTAATTTTTCCTATTTTTCCAGTAAGAACTTGGTTGCTGATTAAAGTCTTTGGCAGGGAGTAGGCAAAAATTAATGCATTAACAACCTAACAATGAAATCAAAGTGATTTAGTGTAGCATTATCTAAAAGAAATTATTTTTTGTTAGTACTGTGTAATGTTCTTTTAACAGATGACAATGATTTATTTCTACTTCGATGAATGATTAAACTAATCAGTGAATTGCTGGAGAGATGCTTTGTTAAATTAGTCCCATATTCAACTGGGAGTCTTTAATCTATTGCTCTGTGTGCTTATTTGTCATTGAATTCGCAGGGGGATGTACAGGTTCTTCTTTTGTTTATATGAATATGAAATAGAACATCTTCTTTGATTATCAATGGAATTTCATTGTTTTAAACCAGGGAAAATGAGACAGTGGGGCCTTTCTGTCTTTGTTTTTGTTTGGAGATGCCTTTAAAAAACCACTTTATGCAATCCTTTTAAAATTACTTGACTTACTTTTAAAGGGAGTTCACTCTGCTTATTTCCAATATGCAAGGTGCTTTTAATTAAGAGTATTTGCAAATTCTGTGGTAATGATTTGTTAAAAATCAGGAAGAGTTGGTGATTTATTTGTACATTTTCTCTATTACACTAGATAAACCAATGCTGCACTGTTTTTATTAGTCCACCCACAATACTCCAACCATTCATGAAAATTCTATGAATGAAGAAAATAACGAATGTGTTGACAATGAAAATAAGAGTTTCAGGAAGCTAATATTAGTGGAAATGCTTTTGTAACAGCTTTACTGTCCAAAGCCAGCATTCATTAGGCCAGTTTACAGTTCTAAGGAGAAAAACAACTGAGTTTTCTTGAGCATTTAGCATAAATGACAGCTGGGTCCCTACAATGTGAGAACTTTCACGCTGTCAATATGAACTGACAATTTGCCTAGCAAAGAGTTATGCTGTGGGAGGTTAAGAAGAAAAGCATGAGAAGGTTTTTATGAGTCCTGTAAAATAGATTTTGCTGGTAATAGAAACCTAGAAGGCAACTTGGGTTTACTATATAGTATTATCTCCTTAAAACTGAAAATTGGCTCTTATTGAAATTACAATGTCCAAATCTATTTTACAAAAAAAAATCCAAAAAACCCCAAAAAAACCAAAAAAACCACAACAACAACAACAACAAAAAAAAAACACAACAAAAAAACAAACAAAAAAAAAATCTGAAGACAGATCACCCGTACCTACACCATGAAGACGATGTGAGATCAGTTGGTATGAGGAAACAAGTCATTGTTGGAGTTCATCTTTGATGTTATTTACCCTTACAGGAAAAAAAACACTCCAGGTTTTGATAATTAATTAAGTATTAAATCCAACCTTAAACCCACAGTGCACACCCTGACAAACAGGCAGTTGGAACAGCGAGAGGATGCAGGGAAACATCTTGAGAGCCCAGTGGTGATGTATTTCCACAAGCTGAGTAATTCTACTGTGTCTGAGGGCTAAAACTACCTTTTGGTTAATTGTGTTGTAATTTTGCTTAAGCTGTTTGCACCGCCTATTTTGGACAGCCCAAAGGAAGGAATGAGCTGAGTGCTTATGGGAAGTCATAGAGTGAAGTCCCCTCTGAAAGAGGGAAAGGAGAAATGCCTTCTGTAGAGAGAAAAAAAGGAACCATGTGTTTTATACTTGCTTATGGGCAGCACTTGAGTTTCAGACTTGTATGATTTCTGTGTGACCAGTCAGTTTGTGTTTGGTTGGACAAAGAGTTCCTGAAATGATCCTGCAGTCTCAGCAATAATACAGATCTGTGATTTAAATGTCTGAAGAAGAGTCACGTGCAAGATAAATGCAGGTTTCTCCCAGGTCATCCTAAGCAATTGCTTGCTCTTCATTAAGTTCCAAGCAGCTGAAATGCCACCAAGCAGCAGGGACGCTTAATCCTTTGGCCTTACAACCCCCCACACCCTATCACTGGACTGTATTTTGCTTTATGTGTATGGAAAGTTTATAAGTGTGGTCTTCGGCAAAGCGGATCTGTTGAACATTTTAAGCTAAATGGTGACATGTAGACTCTGTCTGATGTCTGTGCCATGTCCTGAATTTTCAGTACTTTGCTAGGTGAGGCAAAAGTGTCTGAGGGCTCCTGTGGGCATCGTGGCTTTTCACAGAGAACTGTATTCAACCTGTTTTTTCTCCTGTGTCCAGAGAGCGAGTAGATTTGTCCACAAGTTAGGCAGAGGGACAACCAGCATGGTGATTTTATCTCTCCCTTCGACTTTCCTCTGGCTCCTTCATACCACCTTCTCAGCCCTTATCTTGTTCTTTTGCTTTTTAGACTCTCTGAAGTGATATCTAATCCCTCAAGATTTGATCCAAACTTGGCAGTTATTTTGTTGTTAATCAGTAGCTATAGCTAGGCAGGTGTGATTAAGCAGTTGCTTTGTGAAACTCAGAGGCTTGGTTAATCCTTTGTTTTAAAGAAAAGGGAACACAATCCCAAGATGAATGGGTTGTTTAGAAAAGAGCCACTGGGAGTGAAGTCAGCAGGACTGAGCAGTAAATGGGGGAAAGGTAATTCTGGCAGTGGGGGATTGCAACCACCAACCCACTGACCACCTTCTAAAAACGGAGAGAAGAACTGTACATGCAGACTAATTAGCATGAGAAGCAAGAGATATAGTTAGCAAATAAAGATTGGAGTAGATTTGAGTACTTACTAATGAAAAGGATATGTAGTTTGTAACCAATGAATGTTGATGCCTTTGTTTGTTAAAATGTATAAATTGTGTGAAGTTTTGATGATTGGTGTTTTCTGGGTTACCACCCAGCTCCCTACTTCGCACAAACTGGAGTAAAAAATAGAAATACCTCTCCTTGGTGTGTGATTGGCCATGCACACCAGGTAAGAAGCCAATGTTCAGGATAACAGAAGGACAAGGGTTTCAAAGCTTCACGTGCTTTTGGAAACCAAAGCATTTATGCAAGTGACAACTGATATTATCATTTTTGAGCATAACAGGATATAAACCTCACTTGAAGGACAGCAAGTCATCTCAAGCAATATCAAAGGTTCTTTGCAACTCAAAGAATTTAGTAACTCCTAAGTGTTTATTTTGGGGGTCTAAAACCACACAACATGTACTACAGGCACAGAATTTATGTGACAGTGTTCACTACTCTTAAAAGCAAGAGTTAAATGGCTGCTGCCTTTGTCTGTGGTTTGTCACAGCCTTGCCTTTGTATAACTACCTATCTTGGAAGGAGCTTTGATATATCTTGAATGAGAAAGAAACTGTTATTTATAAAATATATCTCTTCTACATTTCCTTTAATTGCCACCCCCACATCCTTCCTTTACTGAGTATATGAGCTCTCATTTGGTCAGGGTCACCTCAGAGATGAATCTCAAGTCCTTTGAATCTCAAGATATCTTTCTAGTTCAATAACTGTAAATTAAAAAATGTTCTTGAGAAGGCAGATGCAGGGCAAGAGTGCAGCTGCACACTTAGTACTGCTCCACTGTGCTGTCAGTGGGTTCCTAACTGTGGCTGAGCCTCAGGACACTAAAATTTATATTTCTGCTTTAGCATATCTTAATCCACAGTTAGGATAACAAACGTGTTGTAATGTTTTTCGTTAGAAAGCAGGTTGTGACTTTATACTAGCTGAACAGAGTCTTAATTTGCTGAGAAAAGAAGACAAAGCAAATAAATGTAAGGAAGTAAAGAAATGAGACAGCAGGAATGAGTTCTAACAAGTGCAGAGTTTGTGCTGTGACACTGGGTCTGTTTTCTGGACCACATACTGTGTTGCAGTGCCTGGTGAATACATGATGTTAAGTCAGACGTTGCTCTCTATGTGTAAGTGAGGCCAAGTGCTGCTGCCATTCTGCCTCATCCTTCCAGAGAGTTCTGCGGTGCTGCATCCTGTCGCCGTGGCATCTGCATTCTCAGAGGCCTGTGCAGTACCTTCTGTCTCTGCTGCAAAGTCAGCTTTTGACAGGTTTGACAAATGAAAAGCCCTGCACTGTTGTTTGCATGAGGAGAATATTAACTCTTGCACTGTAGACAAATCCCATTCTGTATCAAAATCACACTGCTTTAAATTCACCTGTCTCTTCACCACTTTTTTTTTTATATGCTGTGCTGCACTGATGCCCTGTGTGCTGTTTAAGTGATTGTCCCAGCCTCACTAAAGGTGAATGACCTGGGGTTTACAGGAAGATGTCCCACTCATAGTTTAGCCATCCTCTGGACCGAAGACTGTGCAGATCTAATTTATTACTGTGTTTGATGCACAGGAGAGCAGGACAATTTGACCTTGCAATTTTATGCCCTGCTAAGCGACTACAAGAGCTTCTTAGCTGAAATTTTCCCTTTCTAATTTTAATTTATTCTGTGTCTGGGCAGCTGACAGTTTAAGGAGCTGCTGTCAGGCTACAAATATCTTTACCTAAGGCTTTGGACTGACCCGTCCCAGTGACACAACCATGGAGGGAACCAGGGTGACTCCAGATTCTCAGTGTGTTTCCGTCATCACCTTGTTCCCTATTCCTTTCTTCCTTTCTTCCCCAGAGGTATCTATTGTATATCAGCTCAGGAAGGTCACTTGCATAGATTCTTTTTTTCTTTTTATTTTTTTCTGGTTGTCATATTTCCCCTGTGTCCTTGCAGCTTGCATAGTAGGCTCATGGTCAATATCTGCATCAGGACTTCAGGCAGTTTTGGTTTTACAGAAATATCTTTTATCTTCTATATCACATTTGTTGCATTCTGGTTTGGGGAGTGGGGATAAGACCTGTCCTACATCTACTTATCAGCTAATTTCTGCCCTTTTATTTTTTTTTCCTTAGCTCCTAATTATCCTTTTTCTTTCCTCACTTTGAGCCCTGCCAGCTCCCCGGGTTCTCCAGGAGTGGCTGCTACAAAGATGTGTGTGTTCTCCTCTGTAAAACCGGTCCTTGTTTTGTGTTGCTAGGCTACTCCCTTCCAGCTGCCATTGAAGAAATGCTCCGTGGTGGGAAACGGTGGGATCCTGAAAAAGAGCGGCTGCGGCAAACAAATAGATCAAGCGGATTTTGTCATGCGGTAAGACAGAAACCTCAATGCCACATTGTCCCTCCTTCCCCCTGCTAAGTCTCAGAGTTTTCAAAGCTATTCAGTTGCGATTAATCAAGTGCAATTTGCCTTGTTGCCTCGCCTTTGCAGGATGCTTTGTACAGGCAACTTGGGTGAAAGTGTGAGGAGAGGCAAAAAAAGGAGTTGTGGCTGGCTTCTGCAAATGGTTGTGTGCGGTGTGGCGACAATCTGCCAGTGGTTAAGGTTGTGACAGATGGTGCAGTGTCTCAGGGAGGTACTGAGGAGCTGCTTTTCTCATTATTTTTGTAATGATAGGCAGGGTCTCATCCTGAGGAATGTCCTCTGAAACTCTAAATGCCATCTCTGCAACCCCTTGAACTCAAGATGAGTAGGTGCTGATTATGAGGCAAGACTTAAGATCTAAGTTGGTACAAGCTGAAATCTTCCTGTGTTTTTCTTCCCTCTGGCTGGCTGTCTGAGGAAAGGCCAGACCTCTTTCCTTGATGCAGAGTTTTTGGGATTCCTCACATTTCCTTCCCTTCCAGCCTTCCTGAAGTTATAAGAACCTGTCAGGAGGGATGTTGAACCAGCTACTGCTTTCGTGATTGAATTTGACACTTTCTCGGTCTGCAATCTTTAAGGAAGAAAGACAGAAATTAGTTCCTCCCTGTTAAACATGAACAAGAGAAACATTGTGAAGGAGAAACCGGAGGAATGCTCCCAAAGAGACAAGAAATGGAGTTTTTTTGGGTTTTGACATGAGTGCATAATGAACACCCACTTTAGCAAGTCTCCTTATTAGATCCTGATGGCTTATTTGTAAAGCTGTACAAATTTGCTGCAAACCAAACAGTATTACTGTAATTTCTAGTTTGCATCTCAAAGACCAAAAATGCCTTCTATGTTAAAGAAATAAAACAAAATAAAGGCAAAAGGAAACATAGAGCAGAAGATGCAAGGCACAGGGGAGAAAGGCAGCACACTGATTGCCATTACTGCAAAGCTCCCTAGGTGTTCCACAGGCTAAATATAAGAAACTGCAGGGTGTATACCATGGTAATATTACCGAGATGCAATGGAAAACTGAAATGCTGTAGGAGCAATCAGTTGCAAAAACAATAGAAATTTAAAACAAACAAACAAACAAACAAAACAGAAAAACCAAAACCAGCAGTTATTGTAGCTGGATGAGGAAAAAAAAAACTTTTCTCTCCAGGGACAGTAAAGCAACCACTATCTGGGCAAAACTTGTTTTGACTTGGAAATAAATGATAGAGAGTTTTCTGCAAAAATCTGCAGGCTGTATTGTGTTACTGATGTGCAGTCATATTTGTGTGTCAATTCTTTTGGATTAGAAACTAATACACCCCTGGGAGAAAATATTTTTACAGCAGGGGAAAGACAGGATTTGGTTGATCTTTTATAAATCTGATTTCTATAATCGCAGAGCTGAGAGAGAAAGAGCACAGTGGTAACCTGCATAACATTTTTCATTTTTTGAAAAGAAATTTGTGTAATATCTTCAAAGTATTTCTTCAGTGCAAAATGTCATGCCAGGTTTTGTCCTTGTTCTTTTATTCCACCCACGTGGGTTTTGATTTCGCTTGTGTGTATTTGCCATCTTCTCTCATATGTTGTAATCACTAAGGTTATTTAATGAGTTTAAACTCATTGCTGAGCATCTTCTACAAACACAGTTTTTCCAACACAGAGATGAAAAGAGCAGCAGTTTTCAGCCCCTAAGGCATAACATGCTGCATCTGCAATGAAAAAGGTGCATGGCATATGGTTTACATGTTTCATAGTGTGGTTATTAGTGTGGTTATCTTCTGATATCTGGCTGGTTTTCAGGTTTGTAATCCTTATTTCTAAGAAAAAAATTTGGTTTTACACCTCCTGCTAATGCTTATTTTATGAGAGAAATGTTGGGTACTCACCCAAAGCCATGTTTTTGTCTCTGTTTTGATGATGTTTTCCTTCTTTCCTGCATGTTCACATACTCACTCCTCAGTACCAGATGTAACAGTAAGAGAATTAGAAAGAAGTTTCTTAGGATGAATATTTTATTTCTTGATGTGCTCCTCACCAGCACAACACTTGGCACTCTACTGGCATATTCAAGAAAATAATTAGAAAGGCCAAGAAGTTTCTGTTAACCAACTGATTTCTTACAGCTTTCTCTGGGTACTCAGGGCTTTTCTTAATGTTTAATGCACAAAAAAGTGGGAATGAGACTTACTGATGAAAGGAATTAGATGTGTTTAAACGATGCATCTGGGACTGCCTTATGAAAGAATTTTCATTATTGATGAAAATTGATGCTGAGATGATAAAAAGCAGGGTGAGATCTTAGTCCTTCATAGTGCTTTTGAATAAACTTTAATCAAAAGCAGTTTCTTACAAGCTTGCCCTATAGTTAGTGTTTATGCAAATTGGAGAGCATTAAACTGTAATCTGGCAGAGGCATTTATGCCATTTTGCTGCCCTGAGGCAAATCACCTATATATATGTTTCTTCACAAATATTTGTTTGACTTGCCACTGAAAACTGCTACTGAGAGAGTTTGTACAATCTCTCCAAATAGTATTGATCTGATTAATTTGTACCTTACCCAGCGCTGGGGCAGGAAGCAACCTATTGCCAGATTTGATTTGATTTTATATTTTTTTGTTTTATTTTACTTTACTTAGTTTTTATATTACTTTATTTTATGTAAATATTTTTCGATTCTTAAGATTTTCATTCTTTATGTCTGAGAATTAAGCTTCCATTATGCTTCTATTTTTTTCTTTCAGTTCCTGAAACCTCTTATTTTGGCTCCTCTTTTCTGGCTTCTTTTGAAGTTGTCTAGCTTCTCTTAAATTGTGATAGACCAAACTAGAAGCTGTTTTGTAACTGTAATTGTGCACGTTTTGACAAATATAGTCATGAAAAGGAGAAAATGTTCCTGGAAAATTTATGTTTCTTGGTGAATGTGGTTGAATTCATCTATGTTCCACGTAGGCCAGACATCACTGTCCTTCTTGGTGTTTCCTGATGATGTGAAATGAAGCATACGATTTTGAGAGCTGATATTTGCATGCAAATACATGCAGATATAGCATTAGTGTGGGTTTTTTTCTTATGGAATGTGGGGTACTTTGCATTAGCCAGAATTGCAGGGTGTGCTGTGTGGGCACCAGTGCCCTCTGCGGGCACTGACACCGCACAAAGCCCTAACACGTGGAGGTGCAGACGGGAATTTATGCAGCCTCATTCTGCTGTCACAAGCACCTGGATCCCTTCTCCAGGCACTGCAGAGGTCAGTGAAAATGCACAGAGGCAGTGACTGCTGTGGAAGCAAGGGCTTTCCTTGTGCTGAGACTGATTTTTTCCCAACGTGGCAGATGCGAACAGCAACCCGTAATAAATAAAACAGCCCAACAGTTTCTGCAGTAGCCCCTGGAAACTGCTGTAAAAACTGAGCCATAGCTCACTTCCCCAGCTCCTGCCTCTCACTAGTGGTGGAAAGAGGCCTCTGAATTGTTAAGATTAAAAAGAAAAAAATCAGATCAGCAACTTGTTGTTGGACTCAGGGGTGTCATTACTGACATGGACTGTCTGGAGGATGCATGCAGAATTGGAGTGCCACAAAGAGGTTAATGCAAAAGATGGTGAGAAAAATGATGTGACTCTTCAAGGTGTAAAGAATCCATCAAAGGAACCCATGTCTCTCTGGTACTGAGAGGAGAAGCCATGAATGTGGAACAGTTCCTCTCTGAGCCACTGCCTGCCCTCTTCCAAAGCTGGGGTCTCACCCTGTGTGGGGGTGACTGTCTGCAGAACTTAAAGCAACCAGGGGCTGCTTGAGCCCCTTCTTTAGGGTCAGTGTTTGCTCAGCACATGCTCTCAGTGGGGTAGGAAGAGACAGGAGCTGGCCCCCAAGCATGCCCCTTGTCTTCCTGTACCTCACGTGCTCCCTCTCCGTGCTGCACTTTCCCAGCCTGCTGCAGAAAAACAATTAAACCACCGTGTACAAATGGAGATGTCTTGATTTGGTGGTTGAACTTCAAAATTGGAGGTCAAATTTGGTTATGGTAGAGTTCAAAACTGGTTTTTGTTTTTCTTTTTCTTTAGAAATCCCCAGCGAAACTCCAAAATCCAACAACATAAACAACTAAAAGTGTTTCTCTGGGAAAAATTCCAAATTCCACTTGATTTTTTTTTTCCCTCTGTGTTTTCTTGGTAAATTCTGTACACTGAAGGTACCCCATAGTGAAATATTTAAAATGACAATTTTGCTTGTAATACCACAGAGTGGTAGGAGTCTGAAGCCTGATACTGGTAGATGAGGCAGACCAGAGTGCAAAGCAGAACTTTAAAAGAGTTTGGATAAAAAAATTTCAAGAGATAATAACAACCTCTTCCACAGCCTTTCAGCCTGTCAGAAATGCCAAATGTGTGCCTTTGTTTTTGCTTAGCAGATAGATAGATATCATCTCTGCAAAAGGTTTTATTTCTGTATTTCCCCACAGTCTGGTACAAAAGTGTCCTATTGTGTTTGTAGGTCTGGTGCAGTAGGGAATATTTGGTCTGGTATTTATACATCACTTTTACATTTTCTGAAGCTTGTCAATCCTGAATGTCAATTAAAATCTTGATTGTCTTTCTGTGCACAGGTGCAACCTTCCTCCTCTATCCAGTGAATACAGCAAGGACGTTGGATCAAAAACCCAGCTGGTGACTGCAAATCCAAGTATAATTCAGAAAAGGTAGAGGGCATATCCCCTTTCTGGTTGGGGGAAAACAAAGAGAAAAATGCTTCATCTGTGTTATAGATATTAGTGCATCAGAGTTGTGTTCTTAATGATGGTCTGATCCTGGAAGGGGATTTAAAAAAGGTGAAATAGGCAATGATTTGGTGCTAGGTGAAATAATTAAAGACTAAAACCTCGATCCTTTCACTATAAGCAGGGAAACTAAGGAAGGTTGGCTTTTATAGAGTTATTTCATTTACCAGGCTTCCCTCTGTGCTTCCAACTCCTTCCCTTTTCCATGTGCTGGGCATGTACCTGAGGTGCCTTGGCTGCTCCCAAGCCAGGTACCTACTGATGGGTGTCCCAGGCTACTCTGCTGGTCAGGCCAGCTGGCTGATGCATCCCACAGTTACTGAAGATGCTAGTTTGGGTTTCTCTTTGCTTCCACACCGATAACCTCTGGGTCTTCACTGTTTTCATATTCTTTGTTTGATAACAACTTACAGAGTACAAAAGGTTAGGATGGAACTCCTTGACAGGTTGTGATCATACAAGCTTTGCTTTCTTAGGAAACTGGGACAGATTTTTGTTGTTTATTACAGTTGGTTGAAATTTTCCAAATGTCAGTAGCTGATGAGAGAGAGGGAAAAAAATAAAAGTCAATGCCATCTCTCTGATTTTGCCTTCCTGAATTTTAATTGCTATATTTTTTGTTTATCCCCCGGAATGAGGTAGACTGTTCTCCAGCAGAAAAAGATCTGGTAGTAACCTGCCATGTTCACTGAAGAACACAAGAGAAAAGGCATAAACCAAGGGGATGAACAGGAAATGATTAGGCATAAAGAAATGTATAATGGGAGCACTGCGAGGTGAAGGATTGTGAAAGGAAGCAAAGCAGGGAAATAAAATACATAATAGAAAGCCAGGTGTTTTAGAAAGAAGAAAGGCACTGGTTTGGAAATTGATGTTTGATGGCACTTAAATGTAGTATTTTTCCTCTCTAGCAGAATTGAAGGGTTCTCTAGTTTTGTGTGTGGAAAAGATGTCAGTCTTTGACAAAGTAGAAAAGAGAGGGTGAGCAAGAGGGAAATGGAGTAGTAATCATCTTCAAGAGCTGATTCCAGGCAGAGAGTGCCTGAATAGGGAAAGGCACAGAAGTGCTTATGGGATGAGATCAAAGCAAACCAAGCAAAACTGTCAGGGGATGGCACCGGGTGCCAGGCAAGAAGAGGGGCAGTGGATGTGAAGACAGGGAATCTGAAAATCCTGTGGGATGTAGATGGTGGATGAGGTTCATTTATGAAGTGGAATGAAATGGCCAGAATATCCCATCAAGGAAAGGAGATCAGTTTGGCCGTGGCATTTTGGATGAAATGAAGAGGAGCAGTATGAAACATAAAGCTTGCAAAAGATTTTACAGTTTTCAAGGCAGAGGATTATTTAACTCAGGGATATTTGTTTTGTACCCTCCCCTCCTTCAAACCCTAGAGTAGAAAGCTCGCTGTACTTAGTATTTTTGAACAGAAAAGGGAAAGTGTTTTAGTGATGCTACAAGGAGAATGTGGAACTACACTAGAGAGACCCTAGAGTTATCCAGCAAGACAGAAAGGAAGGAGTGAGCAGATGGTTGAAGAACCAGATGGAGAGAGCGAGGTGCTACTTTGTGAGAGGTGGGTATCACAAGGAGTGGTGGTGGGGGATGGGGTTGAGAAATGGGGAAAAAAGAAAGGGAGGAAGGAAACAGGATTGTGATCAATGTAGTTTTCAAAGTGAGTGAACAATAACTGCAATGCAAGACCTTTGATGGGAAAGTAATGTGGAGTGCATATGCATGTGTATTGATTAGGAGGAAATCTACAACCAGGAACTGAGAATGACGAGGGAACAAATTTATAGTGCTGAAAATTGGCAGAAACCTCCTCTGAGGCTTGAAACTCTTGAGAGATTTGACACTTTGCTTCCTCTGCCTGGTCCAGAAGGGATTTTTTTTTTTTTAAATAATAGTTGACTGATGTTTCCAGTGTGCTCTCCAAACTCATTATTTTACCTCCTGTGTGTTAAGATAGAGTGGAGGGGAAAAAAACTTTAAATTTTTTGGGGTAAAAATAGAAACAAAGACTACCACTCTGTCATCAAGTTCTATGGTAAGAAGTTTTTTAAGGAATTAAGACTACTTTTAAGTCCAGACTTTCTTGATATTCAAGGATGTTCAGATTGGTGGCTGATATGTGTCTGTTTCTAAGCTGTAAGTTAACTAGAGTCACATAATGGTATCATTCATTATCATTCTTCTCCTCTCCTCTTGTTCTTACTTGAAGTAGGTTGATATTGATGAGGCTTGACATCTCAATTATCTCTCAAGTGTGTTGTGGCAGGTTTAGTGAATTGGTCCGGCAACACCATTCATGGATTCTAAAAGATTTATCCTTGCCAGATAATTTATGATGAGGCATGTTGCATAGGGCGAAGTTTTCATGCCAGGGATGTAGAGGCAATTTCCTGTCTGGTTCTAAAATCAGAATTAGTGCCTTTAGAAAATCAAATTGTTGGCAGTAATTATTGCAGAGATGCCACCATTTCCCTCCAGACTTAGAGCCTAAGGATGGGGGAGTCAGTATTTTAATCTGAGAGTACATTGACTGGAGATACCTTTGCCTTTTGCAAAACTTAGAGGTCAAGTTCCTACTCTGTTTTCAGCAGGAAGTGTAACTGTGCAGGTAGTACAGTTTTCACTTGTGAAATGTTTTTCACAGTCCTTATTTGGGTTTGAAAAATGATGGGGAATTTCCAACCCTAACTTCACTTAGTATAATACAGGAGAACTGACAATAGATGTATTATGGTAGAAATTTTCCCATCTGACTAAGAGGACGTGTGATGACTGTCCCAGTTTCTCTTTTCGTCTAAAATATTTCACAGGCATCTCCCTTCAATTAATATTGGAACTCGCAGTCCTTCAAGCCCATGGAAAACTCCTTTTCTCACTTTCTATTCAAAACTTACTTTTCTGTCAAACCTTGGCTTGAGGTGGCATTTGGGATTGAAATGTTGCATAAAGCTACTCCTGGGGCCAATGTGACCTCTCCCTCCCTCTATCCCCCAGTATTGTTGTGGGACTGCAAAAAGGTTGGCATCGTTGATGTTTCCAGTTCATTCCTGTACTATCCTAGTCAACTTGGCCTTATCTGCAGGGAACAACTTTGTAGGCAGAAGGTTATTCTATGTTTGTCCTGGGTTTTATTTTCTTTCCATGAGTAGCTGCTTGAAGTCCCTGCCAGGAAAGAGGCAGTGCAGTAGCGAGACCTGTGATGTGCCTGCAGCTGTTCTTAGACTCTGGGAAAAAATAAACGAGGTTGTGTCACTTACAGCGATTGTTTCTATATTCTGAACACTTATCTACAGCTGTGAAGAGGGACTAGTCAGCAGGTAGCATGTGAAGGTAAAAATGCTTTGTAGGTAGTGATGATATTCGACCACTGGCATGAGATTTTTAACTAAGAAATACAAAGAGGTACTATTTGAGATGTGGATTACTACATGTTTCTAAAGTCACTGGATCTGGGCTGTTTAGGAGAAGCAAATTCTATGAATTTGCTATTGTCTTCAACAACTCTTGCAAATGTCATACAATTATACTCTTTTGTCTAAACTTTTAATTAAATCTGCAAACAAATGCTGTTTGCAGCAATATTCCTTTCTAGTTATCACATCTGCTTACTCTGTCTAATCCAGGCACACTTATATCATCAGCAACAGTCCAAATAGATTGTTTCCCAGCATTCAGTGAGTTTCAGATCAACTGATATTTGTCAGTGAGTGTTTTATCCACAAGCTTTGAGAGTTTTTCTGGCCTGTGTAGAAATAATCCTGTTAGAAAATGGCACGGTGACTCGCAGCATTCTTTATTCACCACAGTCCAGCATTGGTCTAACTGACAGAAGCCCTCGAGGTATTAGCACACACCTCCCTACACCATTTTTGAAACGTAATCCCTCAAAGCAGGAGCTTTGTGCCTGCAGAGCTGAGCTCTGAGGCAGAGCTCTGCCACTCCTGTTTCATGTCCTCTCCCCTCATCAATAAATCCACTTGGATGAGGACCAGTCATTCCTGTGTGTGTCTAGGGCTTTGGAGGTTACCCTAGTTAGATTAATTGTGAAGATTTCTGTGAAATACCTCTGCCAGAGACAGGCTGAGGGTGCAGGTGAATCCATATTTCTGCTACTACAGTGATTCCACCGGAGTGTGCCTTGTTGCTTTGAATATAGAAATAAGTGAAGGGTTAGTTGCAGTGATATCCATCTTCATTCTTTGAAATGTGTATGTTTTTATTTAGGACTTTATAGTGAAGTCTCTCAGCAGTTGTGTAACATTACCAATGGAAATAGTCTGACTGAAACTGGGATGATTTAGGATCCGCCGTTACACTCTGCAGCTCAATATGAACTTCCATCACCGAATGTGAACATTTTTCTTTCAGTAAATTAATTCCCTTTTTTGATCTCTGTGATATTTGACAAGTTTTTTCTGCATCCAGTTTCTTACACTAAAGCATGATGGAGGAATGAGACTAAAGGCTAACAAATGCAATGATTCTGCCTCTGAGCTTTGAAATGTCAGTTAAATATCGCTGCTGTTTATTAGGTTCCCATGGATTTTGAGTGGGATTAAATTTGCTTTCCAGTGTTCCTTGCATCTTAGAGACAACTAATAATCTTTCCTGGATTCACTCCTCAAGACATCTTCGAATCCTACTGACTTACACCATTATGAATAAAAAGGTGGAACTGAGGCAATAATTTAATTTAATAAAAGCTTCCTTCATCTCTGGTTAAACAATTGTACAATATTATGCCTCTTGCTGACACTCATGAAAAAGAGAATTCCTCTTGACTGTGTCTCCATGTAAAAACTATATATTCTGTTCCTAGGTAGTTACATTATAATTTAGTAATTGCTAAAGATCAGAAAAATAAAGATGGAAAACTACTCATAAAACATGCTATTGAAGGAAAACC